TCTTGGAGAGTTAGGGGTAAACCAAAAATAGTAATTAAAATAGAAACCACTTTACTTTGATTTTAAAAACACATTTATGGTTCACTCCCTATGTTTCTACCTTTTTACTTCTAGTATGCTTAATTTAACACTCACTTTCCTCTTCTTGCATATTCCATTTGACAGTGGATGTTTGGAAGATTAGTGAGTCCTATACGCAGGTCACCTTGAGATGAACAGGGACGATGGCCCCTTGCTTCTGATGTAGCCTGCACTTACACATGTTCTCTCCCTCGGTGCTCTAGGCGGCACTTGGGTGTTTTGGTTTTACAACTTTTTGATGTTCTTTGTTTCACGCAAATATATCTTTCCTTCCCTAGTAAGATTGTAAGCTTCTTTAGGACTTGGACCATTTATGTTGGGCCTTTATTATATACCTTTCTTGACTTTCTTAAAGGAATAGTCTCCACTTTTGTCTTCTTCCTCATTGCTCATTCCTCTTTAAGTAATAGTTTCTGCTTTCATGATGAGAATTTTATATTCTCCACTGCTTGTGAAGAACGTAGGTTTTGCTTCTGGCTGTGATGGAACAGATTGCAGCAGGCCAAAACTACTGCTGAGAATAATTAGAAAAGCCTGGTTTATAAAAAAAAAAAAAATCTATATGGGGGCATTGGTAAGTTGCCAAGGCAGCCAGGACCTTCAGATGTTTGTGAATTCTTGGCAAAGGGAGAGTGCGGCTATTAAGAAGCAAAAAAGCCAGCAGAGCTTTCTTCGTGGAGCTAGAAATTAAAAAAAAAAAAATTGTGGTTCAGGGCTGCCAAGGCAACCAGAACTTGAGAGGCCAGATACCAGAGAGAAAGGAGGCGCATCCCCCTCCCGCTGCCCCCTCTCCACCTGCTTTTCTTCTCTCTCGAGGCGTTTGCTGAGTCTTAAACTGCACAGAGTAAAAGGCTAAGAGGTTTCACAGAAAGATACTGAAAAGCAAAGCCTTTTTTAGCAGCTCCTCAGTGTTGAGGAGAAAAAAAGTTAGGGCCGTCTAAGGAAGATAGGCTTGGTAAACACCACAGACTCACTTGGACCCTGGAAGGGCTACGGACCTGGGAAGAATGAGCTTTACAAGCTTCGCAAAGATTGCAGCCTGCCTTGAGTCTGCTCATGTCTCGCCCCCATTCTAACTGCCAATCAGAGAACATGGTGAATCTTCTGTAGGAATGTAATGTCATCCAGAGCCTCCACAGTCTTATACACAACGAATGACATTCTAAGAAAAGTACCAGGTAAACCAAGAAACCATGCCACGCATAAAAATAGACAATATTGAAATATATTCATAGTATCCCAGTTATCTGATCATTTATTCAATCAGTCTCTAGTTGAAGGACAGGTTGTTTCCAGTCTGAGTGATTTGCAGTGAACATTCTTACACGTACATCTTTGTACATCTGTATGATATTTATCTTTAAGATAAAGGATGACCTTGCTAACTCTTGCCTTTATCAAACATTTTTGTAAAAAAAATATATTTTATTGACTTTTTACAGAGAGGAAGAGAGTTAGAAACATTGATGAGAGAGAATCATCAATCAGCTGCCTCCTGCACACCCCCTACTGGGGATGTGCCCGCAACCAAGGTACATACCCTTGACCGGAATTAAACCTTTGACCTTTTAGTCCATAGGCCGACGCTCTATCCACTGAGCCAAATCGATTTCCGCTCAAACATTGTTTTTTAATCTTTGCCTACTGATACATAAAAGCATTTTGGTTTAAAAGGTTTTAATACCTTGAAATATGAATGACTTTTAACAGATTTTAATATGTCTATAAATATTCTAAAATGTCCTTTGCCCATATGATATGGCTTTAAAAATTATTAAATAGGTCATTAGGCTTTTAAATTATTAAAGAGGTAATAAGACATAGTGCGTAAGAATACAGATCCTAGAGCTAGAGTGCCTGGGTGTAAGTCATAGAGCTCTTTCCCTTACAACAGCGTAGCCTTGGGCAAATTAAGGGCTCTGTGCCTCAGTTTCCTCATTCGTAACCTGGGGTTAATAGTATCTCCCCGTCAGATCATTATGAAGATGAAATGAGTTAATAATTATACAGTCCTTAGAAACTGGCTTGGTATAATATGATACATACTAACTACCGGCTGTCATAATGATGCTGCTGGTGGTGACAGAGATGGAAATTAGCTAAAGAGATTTTTTTTATTGGCCCAAGCGCAAATAGCAGCCAGTGGGAGTATTCCGATAAGGGCACAGGTCGTTCTGCGGCGCTGGTAAGTTGAGCCTGAAGAGTAAGAAACTCAGACATAGCTGTCAGGGTAGCATCTTCCCATTGAAGTTCAGGGAGGTCGTTTTTCTAGTTTTGTATTGAGTGTGGATGCTCTGACAGTGAATGACACTTCATTCCTGAGGGGTTGGTGCAGTGAGCAAAATGTCTTGTAGTTTGTTTTGTCTGTCTGCCTCTATTAACACCCAGTCACCGCGCCCCAGAGAAGGTCCTTTTTAGGAAGGACCTTCAAGGAAGTGTAGCTGCTCCTAGTTTCTGTTACACTGAATGCAATGGTCGGCGAGGGTTACCAGCCACAGGTCTGTGTCATTCTCAAGGCGTCATATTGTTAGTCCCCCTTCCTGCTAAACACCATAGTCAGAGGACAGGCATCAAGAAAGTACTTGAGCCACTGGATTTGTTTACAAATACCAAAGCATTCAGCAAACCCATGCCACCCAAAGAGGGCGAGTGGTTGTGTCTGTGCCACAGAAGCACTTGCAAACCCCCGTAGAAGCTGGTGGACGGATGGGTGAGATTGGGCTAACTCCTCTGGACTAAGGCTCTTTTGGCATCTTGTTGCTCTACTTATTATTATTTTTAAAAATAATTTGTTGATTTATTTAATTTATTTTTTTATATTTTTATTGTTTTTTTACAGAGAGGAAGGGAGAGGGATAGAGAGTTAGAAACATTGATGAGAGAGAATCACCAACCAGCTGCCTCTTGCACACCCCCTACTGGGGATGTACCCGCAACCAAGGTACATGCCCTTGACCGGAATCGAACCTGGGACCTTTCAGTCTGCAGGCCGACACTCTATCCACTGAGCCAAACCGGTTTCGGCTTGTTTGTTTTTTTCAGAGCAGTTTTAGTTTCACAACGAAATTGAGAGAAAGGTACAGAGATTTCCCATATACCTCCTGCTCCCATACATACATAGCTCCCCCAGTATCAATATCAGGATGAAGATTGGTTACCAAGGGTGAACCTACAGTGATGTAAGCACCCGACGTTCATTAAATTCACTTTGAAATGTCTATCAAGAAATAATTCATAAATAAGGCCATGTAGGTGCTCCATATACTGACTGAAATCTTATTATGCCTTATGACTTATTTGAGAGTAACAAAAATGGGCAGGGCTGGGGGAGGAGTATCAATTTACATTCACCAAATACTGCCTGGATGGACGGGGGTGGGCAGCACATGGAGGATTCGTAGGCAGAGAAGTGCTCTGTACAATATTATAATGATGGACACATGTCACTATACATTTGTCAAAATCCACAGAACGCACAGCACCATTGTACAGTGGGTGAAGGTGATGGAATGTCTTATCTCCCAAACCCAGGGCTAACAGCTCTCCAGTGCTCGGCAGACCTTTAAGTTACTGTAATTCTACATCTGTGTTCGATGCAGTGTTTCTAAGTATCTTCCACTCTTCTAAATAAGAGTCTTTATAAAATAGTTGAGACAACTGAAAAACGAAAGAGTCAACTTTTCGCAACAAGTATTTATCCAACTCAATAGGATGTAAAGTTATTAGAAAGTCAAAATAAATGCCGATCCAATCACTGAACATCTACACAGGGATAGAAGTGTCACGAACACCTAAGGAGTTTATGTGTACTTTCCCCCTCCTTTTTTGACAACATTTAGCACTTTTGTTTGTTTATATAACAAATATATATTGTGTGCCTCCTATGGCCTGAGTATCTCAGATTCAGAATTTTAGCTAAAAAAACCCCCCAGCATAATAGATTAAAAAAAATTATATATATAGTAACTAGGGTCAAGAAACACAGTGCTTTAGAAAGATGGTTATGTGCAGTCTCTGGAGAACCTTGAGTGACACGTTGAAGAGTTTTTGCTTTTTGGCAGATCCAAACCAAAGTTTTGAAGTCCTTGAGGATTAAAAATAAACTGGTTATATACTGGAAACATTTACAGACCGTACAGGAAAACAATCTGGTGGCAGTGTTTAAAAAGAAATAGAAAAATATAGTATTACAGAAAACTGTAATAAAATTTTACAGAACAAAACTTTAGTTCGTTGTAAATGTTACTTGGTAACATTGAACTAAGACCTTTAAATATAGTTTTTCCTTAAAGTCTTTTAATATCATATGTTAACTTTACCAGCCAGGCCCTTCCAGACCACTCTATGTAATCTTTTTCTCCCATTTTACATTTGTTTTCGTCCACAGCACTTACTACCACCAGCTGTATTATATACACACATTTATTTGTTTGTTGACTGTTTCCCTTCACGCATTGCAAACTCCATGAGAGCTAGGACCTTATTTGTTCACTGCTTCTCTATAGTGCTCATAACTGTGCCTGGCTTACACCCTTTAATAATTACTTGTTAAGTGAATGAATGAATATTCAAGTTAGGATGACCACAACTTTTAATGTAGTTTACAATGTGGGGACAGCAGTAGGATGAGGAGTTGGTTGGTTCCTTCCTAGAACGTCCTATTTAAAAAAGCATCTTCTTGTCTGGCCAGTGTGGCTCAGTGGTTGATCCTCTACCCTGTGAACCAGGAGTTCACGGTTTGATTCCTGGTCAGGGCATATGCATGGGTTGTGGGTTCAATCCCTGGTGTGGAGCATGCAGGAGGCAGCTGATCAATGATTCTCTCATCATTGATGTTTCTATCTCTCTCGCCCCCTCTCCCTTCCTCTCTGAAATCCGTAAAAAAATGTTTTAAAAAACCTCTTTTCCCTTTCTTCCAGAGTTTATATTCAGAACACCAATCAAATTAAGCAAGCCTGGGGAACTTCGTGAGGAATATGAAAGCCTGAGAAAGGTACAGTATGCATGTTTCATTCATTTTTTAAAAAGTAAATTAAAATAATGGCATTAAAGAATGCTTAGTGGGAGTTTTGGTTTACCTAGGGTTTTTTTAAATTTACAATACAGAGCCTGTCTTTCTCCACGTTACATTATACCAGTATCGTTAGATGATAGCTATAATGGAAATAGAGTAAATCTTAACTAAGAGCTTCTTGTAAGCTGTCCTTTCAAAGATGGAAGTGTAGCTCACAGCGCCTGTCACACACCTGCTGTAATAACTGCCACCAATGAGGTGTTCTCGGCATTTCAGTGTTAGTTAAACACTAACGTTCAAGCTTTAATAATAGTTTGTATTATTTTTCCTTACCTTGCAAGGTTCTTCTAATTGCATGTAACTGATATTATCTCTTATTGCTTTTACTCCGTTAAGTATTCCAGAATAACCGTATCTTAGGCCAGTCAGAGGGCAATGAAATAATTTCCTAGGGAACCTTCACCTTCGGGAAAGCTTTTACCTGTGTCCACCTCATCATCTTTTGGATGTTTTCAAGCTCATTGTCTGGGAATCACTTAGAGAATTAAGACTTTAAAAGAGCTAGTAATAAGAAGTATGTTACAAGATCTAGATCACTCTTCCCCAGCCCTCTTCCTGCAGCACCATCTCTTACCCACCTTCATAAATTATTAGATAATCATTCTACCTGTGGATATTTAATATTTCACAGAGATGAGTAATCCACTTAAATCTGAATCAGGCGTTTTCAAACGCAGAGGCGAGACAGTAAGATTATTTGTAGAATTTTATATTGAATAAAAAAAATCAGTATTAACAAGGCCATGTTTAAAAGATAATAGAAAACTGTTCTTAATTACTATACATTCTTTGGCCCTTTTAAAAAGGAGGACGTCATATGCTGAGTTGGGCTGTCATTCTCCTTTACTATTGGTATTGTGGTATTGTGAGGTTTTTGGTTTTTTTTTGTGTGTGTGTTCTGTGTTTTTAAAAAATCACTTACAAATCTTTTTCTACATAGTAAGAAATTATTCTCAGTGCTACCTCAAAATAGCCATAGATTCCTCTTAAATAAAATTCTAGTACACGCAGATACTTAGTTCTAATGTACCTTTTCAAAAACGTGCCACTGGCTTTGACTCCGTGGTTAGAGCATTGGCCCTCGGACCAAAGGGTCTGGGCTCGATTTCTGGTCAACGGCACGTATCTGGGCTGCAGGGATCGTGAAGAATATGGGTTAAAGCTATTGGCTTGAAGATAAAGAGAAAACAAGGAGTTGGAGATAGAAAAAGGAGCTAAAGCAGAAGGCATAGTAAGAGGAGAGGTTTTTATAAGCCTTGAGAGATAAGAAACCTTGAGGTACTTTTGTTCCTCTTAGGAGGAGGTGCAGGAAGATGGTTTTAAAAGGGACTGATGGCCTAATGTTGAAGGAAGCTATGACATTCTCATGTATAAAGTGAATTGTGTTTGAAAAACACCTGTGTTATTTGAATAAATAAAAGTTAACTGTAGGTCCTTCTCCCATGGGATCTATACCCAATACCCAAGTTATCCTGCATTCATTATACAATCTGGAAAATGAGAATTCAAGTCATAAAATCAAAAGTCACTAATGGCACATCCATACAATGGAATATTATTCAGCAATAAAAAGGAATGAATCATTGGGCATGGGCCTTTTATATAAGAGATGTTCAGGATAGACAAATGTATAGAGAAAAACAGATTAATGGTTGATTGGAGTAGGGGGTGAGAATGGGAATTAACGATAAATGGGTGTGAGTGATTTTATTATAGTAGTGAATATTTCTAAAGCTGATTTATGGTGTGTTCCCCAACTTGAGAAATTTACTAAAAATCATTAAATTATACACTTGAAATGGATGAGTTATATAATATGTAAAATATGCCTCAATAAATTTGTAAAAAAATTTCAAGGCACTAGACATTTTATGGAGACCTTGATAGAGAAAAAGTTGTCTCAGAATCATATTTTCTGAGACAAAAGAAATACAGAGTTATCTGGGTGAATCTCTAGGGGGGGAATGTCTTTTCTCTGAAACAAAAGAAATACAGAGTTATCTGGGTAAATCTCCAGGGGAGGAATGTCTTTAAAAATTGGTACTGAGCAAGGGATGGTAAGTGGAAATGAACTCTGTAGGACTCCCCCTTACTAATTTGATGTATAGCATATTACTAATATATTTTTTATTTAGTATACTTTATTATTTTGTGTAAGTGGCAGTAAAAACCTTTCTATGGGCTATAAAAAGTTAACAAGAAACTTTATTCCCCTAATTCTGGTTCTTTTAAAAGATGTTTCCTTAATAATCATAGATTATCCTACCTGAGGGATAGTTATGCCTACCGAGGTTACTTTGGATTTCTAAATTTTAGATTCTATGAATAGATTTATATTCCTATGTGTGTTTAAAATTTTCTTCCTGTCATATGTCAAAATTGTCTTTTTTTTAAATTAAAAAAAATAATGCAAGGAATATGCAGTGTATGCTGTAAGTGGGCAGATCCTTCTCTAGAATGTTTCTCTTTTCCTTATTTTCCAGTCTCTTCCTAGGTCCTTACACACACACACACACACACACACACACACACACACTTTGATCTTTTTCAGTATAAATGAAATCATGGTGTGTATTCACTTATTCACCGTGTCCCTACTGTATGCCAGGTGTTGGGTATACAAGTGATAAATAACCTGAGGTCTGAGGGGAAGATAGACAGTAAATAAGCAAACACATACTACACACACACACACACACACACACACACACACACACACACACGTGCACAAAGCAGGATAAGAAAAATTAAGGGGAGTGAAAGGGACTGTCTTATTTTTGAATTTTTTGTGTGTGTGGACATAGCTGGTCAGTAGATAAGGGTGATAAGGGCGGTCTTTCAGAGAAGGCACCATTTAAGCTGAAGCTGAAAGAAGAGAGGGCACCAGCCGAGGGAAGGTATGAGGAAAGTGCATTCCAGGCGAAGGGAGCAGCCACTGCAAAGGCCCTGAGACAGAAACGAGTTTGGCTTGTTGGAGGAGCAGTGCGGCCAGAGCTGGGAGGAAGGACAGTGTGGGGATCTGGGAGGACATGAGCTGGGAGAGAGAGAAGAGCCAGATCAAAGAAGGTAACGAGCCTACCTTTATTTAAAATCTGATGGGAAGATAGCAATCTGGCTTACGCTTTAAAAAGTTTTCTGGTTGCTTTGTGGGGAGTAAGCTTATAATGGGCCTAAGAAGTTAGTAATTATATTTACTGTAAATAACAGAGTCCACAAAATAATGACTCAAAGAAATTAAAGTTTTATTTTTATTAAATAACAAAAAACTGTAGCTAGGCAGTCCAGGACTGATATGGCAGCTCCAAGACACCAGAGATTCAGGCTCCTTTTGTCTTTCTGTCTCGACATTTTCAAGTTACCTGTCTCCTTGTGGTGTGAGTGGACAGATCCTTCTCTAGAATGACATCTAGACAGAAGGCAGAAAGGCTCATGCCAGCGGACTTGGGTCTTTTTAAAGAGCCTTCTCCACCGCTCCACCAGTGACTTCACTTTATTTTATATTCCAGTGGCCCTGGCTTCCTGTAATTGCCAGGGGCATCGGCAGCATCGTGTTTTACCCGGGTGTGTTAGCTTCCTATGTGGAATCAGGGTCCTCTCATTGAGGAAGGAGAGAATGGATATTGGGCGGGCATCCAGCAATCTGCCTCATGGATCAAGAATGGAAATAAGACCTGTTAGGACATGTTTGGAATAAGGAATATGTTGAGTTTAAGCAGGGTTAGGGTTTTGCCAAAAGTCTGTTGGAGGGAGAGGTGTAGTGCACTATAAGGTGTACACAAGGACGTTGTTATAGTTTTTGGACCATAGTTATTTAAGGAATGAATTGAGATACATGATAGACAGTGAAAGAGCCGTAAGAGCCGTGGACTGAACGTTTCAGTGGTGGTAAAGAATTGTAAAAGTAAGGATATTAGCATGCAAGTCAAGCTGGAAAGCTAGGAAGTGATGGTCTAACGGGAGAGGCTTAAAAGTGAGATGGGGAAGAGATTTAGTTATGGGACGTGACAGGGTGTGGGGTATGAGCATTGGAATGTGAAGTTCGATGGCAGAAAAGATTTATTAGAAGGGGATGAAGGAACTGAGAGAGTATACTGATAATGAAATCTTCAGGAATGATCACTGAAGCAGTTGGAGAGAAACTTAGATGATAAGTTTTTCTGTGAATTAGGGGTCTTGACAGAGGTAGGTAGGCGACTACCATAAAGAGGGGTCCTTGGTGTGTCAGTCTGATGGTAAATACTTGAAAGAAGCTTGGATTTTTGATGAATAATATGTTCCATTGTTTTTTTCACTAACAATAGGATTTTTTTTGGGGAGGGGGCGGGGCAGGTTTTATATAGATACTTTTTCATCCTGAATATTTCATAGTATAGATGAGGCGTAATTCATTTAATCATTCCATTGTCTTTAGTCATTTAAATTGTTTCTCATTTCCCCAATTTAAAAGTTATGCTGCTCTGAACACACATGAACATATATGAGCAAATACTTCTGTTAGGTTAGATTCCTAGAAGTGAAAGTGCAGATTTAAAGGGTATATACACTTTGTATTTTGGTGGATATCAACAAATTACCCTTTAAAAAGACTTTTTCAGCTTACTCTCTCACCAGTAGTAAATGAGAGCCTACCTTTTTTTCAAATCCATGCTCTAAACTGTTATCATTATTTTTAATATTTTGCTAATCTGGATAAAATATCTCATTGGTTTAATTTACATTTTTTGATTACTAGAGAGTAGGAGCATCTTATGCTTACTGGCCATTTAGATGTTATCTGTGAATTGTTTGTTTATAGTCTTTACTAAAAACTATTTCCATCTTTTGGATATTTGCAATTTTGACTGCCAATAACATGATTTTTTGTTGCTTTTCTGTGCTTTTATAGATGTAGTGTATTAAAAAGTAGTTTTATGACATTT